AGAAAGATTGTTTCATCTTTAAGGATTCTGTGTTGGTTTCAGCTTAAAGTCTCTGTTTTTATGGCTTGATTTTGACTTCTTCTTTCCTTTTTCGGCTCTGTAATTATTGATTCTTTCTTAAATTGGATCACAAAATTTGTGTATATATAAAGAATCTTTGAAATGGCAAAAAAAGTTGAATTTTTGCGATCTTTCTTCTTACAGGAGAGATTTGCGGCACAAAGAGCAACCTCTGCTCTTCAAAAACCCTAACGGAAGTCGAATTCTTGAGGATGAAATCAGAAGAACAAGAATCCGCCACGTGTCTTCTCGAATTCGCCGCCTGCGACGATCTCGAATCGTTCAAGAGAGAGGTCGAAGAGAAATCGCTTGAGATCGACCAAACCGGGTTTTGGTATTGCAGACGGGTCGGGTCGAAAAAGATGGGTTTTGAAGAAAGAACACCACTCATGCTTGCTTCTATGTACGGAAGCATCGAAGTGCTAAATTACATAATTGCCACTGGTAAAACCGACGTGAACAGAGTTTCCGGTGACGAGAAAGTCACTGCTCTTCACTGTGCGGTTTCTGGCTGTTCTGTCTCTATCGTTGAAGTCATCAAGATCTTGCTTGATGCTTCTGCTTCACCTAATTGCGTTGATGCTAATGGGAATAAACCGGTTGATCTGTTGCTTCGTGCTTCCCGGTTTATGCCTAACCAGAGTAGAAAAGCGGTTGAGGTTCTGTTAACCGGAGATCATGGCTCGGTTAGTTTGATGATGGAGGAAGAAGTGAAGAGTGTTGTGACCAAGTATCCAGCTGATGCATCACTTCCTGATATTAACGAAGGTGTGTATGGAACTGATGAGTTTAGGATGTTTAGCTTTAAGGTTAAGCCGTGTTCGAGGGCTTATTCGCACGATTGGACCGAGTGTCCTTTCGTTCATCCTGGTGAGAATGCGAGGAGGAGAGATCCTAGGAAGTTTCCTTACACTTGTGTGCCTTGTCCTGAGTTTCGTAAAGGGTCTTGTCCTAAAGGAGATTCGTGTGAGTATGCGCACGGTGTTTTCGAGTCTTGGCTTCATCCGGCGCAGTATAGGACACGGCTTTGTAAAGATGAGACTGGTTGCGCGAGGAGAGTATGTTTCTTTGCGCATAGACGTGAGGAGCTAAGACCGGTTAATGCTTCAACTGGTTCTGCAATGGTTTCACCGAGGTCGTCTAATCAGTCTCCTGAGATGACTGTTATGACTCCTTTAGCGTTAGGATCATCGCCGATGAACTCTCCTATGGCTGTTCCTTTGTCTCCTAGAAACGGTGGGTTATGGCAGAACAGAGTTAATAGTCTTACACCGCCACCATTGCAGCTTAACGGTAGCAGATTGAAGTCGACTTTGAGCGCTAGAGATATGGATATGGAACTTAGGCTTCACGGTTTGGATAACCGCAGACTCAGTGACCTCGAACAGACTTTTGGGTCTTACGATTCTTCCTCTGCGATGCAACTTCAATCTCCAAGCAGACATTCTCAGATGAACCACTATCCGTCTTCCCCTGTGAGGCAACCGCCTCCTCACGGATTCGAATCTTCAGCAGCCATGGCAGCTGCAGTGATGAACGCAAGATCCTCAGCATTTGCGAAACGCAGCTTGAGTTTCAAACCAGCTCCGGTAGCTTCTTCTAATGTCTCAGATTGGGGATCACCAAACGGGAAACTCGAGTGGGGAATGCAAAGAGAGGAGCTAAACAAGCTGAGGAGAAGCGCCTCATTCGGCATTCACGGAAACAACAACAACAGTGTGTCGCGTCCTGTAAGAGACTACAGCGACGAGCCAGATGTGTCGTGGGTGAACTCTTTGGTGAAAGAGCCGGAAAGAGCCTTCGGGTTGAATGAGAGGGTCGGGAACACGGTGAATGGCGCAGCGGGTAGGGACAAGTTTAAGCTGCCTTCGTGGGCAGAGCAAATGTACATAGACCATGAGAAGAAGCAGCAGATTTTGGCATAAGAAACAGAAAGAAAGATGGGATTTTTCATTGCAATTTCTTCTGGGCCTCTCTCTACACACACCAAGAATCTAACAAATATGGCAATAATTCTTTGATTTGTGTTTTGACCCCATAGTTTACTAGTATATG